CTCTAACCCCCCACAGCCTGTCTGATCCCTGAATGCTCTCATCTCAGTGATAATAGGATGCCTGTACATGCTGTAATTTTTATCTAGAAGCTGGAAATAGAGCAAATGGTATCTCAGCCCGTGAAGGGAACCCAGTTACAACCTGTATATATGTGGATAGCTTGGTTAAATTTTCATAACGCAAATACCCTGATTTTTTTTAAAATACCACAATCTGGGACCAGTAGGCCTTCCTAATTCCCAGCGAATGGTTGGCAGAGATCGCTCAACTGCTTACTTACTAATTTGTTTAAAGTATAGTGTTGCAGCCGGGCCACTGCCTGCCTTTTGTTTGTTGGGGTTTCTATAAGAATCATATGCTAAAAGCAAGGATTTCTTCTCCTGCTGGAAACTGCACGGAGGATTTGGGTTTTTGTCTTCCCTGGGCTGCAGGCGACTGGGTATACAGGCCACCCGAGCTCTGTGAACCGCCATGTCCCCTTTCTGGCCCGCGCTCTGGTTTACCCAGCTGTGCCAGTAGGAAAGGGAACAGCTGGACATAAACAATTGCACTGCTCCTGCCAGGTACAAAAGGGTTTGTGTTGCTCTTTTGGGCATTTCTGGCTTCTTAGAGAAAGCAAAATAAAGCAAGTTTATAACGAGAAAAGTCTTATGAACTGTGACCGCTTTTAATCATAAACAGACAGTTTATCCGCTGAAATCACTTGGCTCAAGGATCTGCCTGTAAAAAAGTGATCATTGTAGTTTCATTGGGGGGGTAGAGGGAAGAAGGGCGGGAGGAAGAGAGAGAGAGAGAGAGAGAGAGAGAGAGAGAGAGAGAGAGAGAGAGAGAGAGAGAGAGAGAGAGAGAGAGAGAGAGCGCTCCCCAAGAGCTCCCTGGCATCAGGGAAGCCCCTGGCCTAGGTACTGAGCAGGCTGTTGGCTCACAGACAAGGATGGCAGGGCAGGGACAGAAGGGTGGAGATGTCCAAGGACACAGCAGGAACTGTCAGCAGTCTAGGAATGAACCACATCCGGACACATGTAGCTGCCTCTGAATGAGAAAGCTGATTGGCTCTGGAAGGTTGACCCGGATGGCATCAGGAAGACATTCGGGAGAGCATCTTCCCTTTTCTCTGTGGGGTCACCTGGGATTGCTAAACTTGTTAAACCTACAGGAGAGCCTGAGATCCGGCAGGGCATCCAGCTGTAACTCTCTTCAGTTGACACCCAGGGACACCTGAAGATTTCGCTTTTGCTCTGTGGGTACCGTCTGAGTTAATACCTTCTGAAGAGGGAGAAAAGCCCTTCCAGCCCCGACTCCTTGGTTGATTGTCCCTCTTCAGCTGGGAGGCGAGGAAATGAGAAGCCCCACACACACAGGAGGGCAGGGCGGCTGCATGGGTGGGGGATGAAGGCCTTGGGAAGAATGCTCAGGGGAAATTCCAAAGAAATGAGACCCTGAGAAGTACCAAGATTGTACCCTAGTTAGTGTTCCTCTGTGGGGTATGAGGCCCCTCTTCAGTATCCCCGCTGCCTGCCCAGCTCACCTACCCTGGCTCCGGGGATTTGCTCTTGTGCAGGTGCAGAACCCGTACTCCCTAGCTGAGGTAAACACTTTGCATCTTCCCTCATTACCTGGCAACGAAGACCCCTGTCTGCTGCTTCCACGGCTGCAACCCCCTCCAATTTAGGCGAACCCCAGCTACTAGGCACCTGTCCTAGCCCGCCTGGAGCGCGCCCTCTGCTGGTACTGATAGGGCTGGCAGTGAGGCTGTCTGGTCTCAATCCTGGGCAAGACACATCAATCAATCTGACTGGCCACCCATACCGGAACCACCTTAGGTGCCCACTGGGGGTAGCTGTTCAGACTCTGCTGGAGTTTGCACCGACATGTTGCTTATCAGCAGACCAAGCTACTAGATGCTTCTGTCGGAAATGACTTCCTGATATCTCTTTCTGTTTCTCCTACCTGTATCTTCTCACTTCACTTTGGGCAAGGACAGCTAGGCCTTCCCTAACAATCCTGAAGTGTTTTGACAGAGCTGATAATCTAACCCAATTCTCCTCTTCCCGAACCTTCCTTTGTTTCCTGGCAAACTGATTCTCAGACCCCTCTCCATTGTGGTATCCAGTTCACAGGAATTGTAGGTAGGGTTTGACCGGTGTACCTCAGAGACAGGCTGGAACCTCTGCCCGTGGGGCATGCAGGCAGGGGCACAGAAGTTGCATAGGAGGACTCCCTCTTCAGATGCACTTGTTCAATTAGCTTGCTTGCTATATGCCGCTGGCTAATCTCATGCACTCATTCGTCATCAAACAATTCATTTCCTCTATGAGCCAGGCGGTTGCCAAGGCTGTACCACTGAAGACTTGTAACTCCCTAACTTAAAGAGTTAACTTCCGGGGCTGGAGAGATGGCTCAGAGGTTAAGAGCATTGCCTACTCTTCCAAAGGTCCTGAGTTGAATTCCCAGCAACCACATGGTGGCTCACAAACATCTGTAATGGGGTCTGGTGTTTTCTTCTGGCCTGCAGGCATACACACAGACAGAATATTGTATACATAATAAATAAATATTTTAAAAAAAGAGTTAACTTCCACCCAGATTATTATGTCCATTATCCTCATCTGCAGGTTGCATGTCCCTAATCCAAAGAATCCTAAATCCTAAATGTTGTAATATCTGATTTTAACTTTGGAACATTTGGGATTTCCAGATTTCAAAATATTTTATATTTTGAATTTTTATATTAGAGATGTTCAACCTGTGAGTTCTTTGAAGATATTCCAAAATCTGATCAAACCACAAATCTGGAATATCTCTCACCTCCTGGTAAGGGACACTCAGCTCCTACACAGACCATCTGGGATGTTGAATTTTGTACAGCTCAGTCTGTATACAAGCACTCCATCAGTGAATGCTACAGGTAGCTTTTCTTCATCCCATGCTTCTTGACAACACAGTCATTTTAGCATCCTTCACTAAGGCTGTCCAGCTATGGCTGAGCTTCCTGCGTTCACTATCCATTGATCCCCCTTGCAGCACAGTGGTCCACCAACTTCCAGCGCTTTTAGGAGATACCCATGGGGATCTTCCCATGCTGTCTTTTGATTGACGTCACCTCGTCACATGCCAAGAAATCCCTACACCGAGGTCACCACTTTTGCTTGATGTGCAACCTACTAGCTGCATTCGTGTTCTTGTCCCGCTGTGTGGTTTAGACCCGACACCCTCCATTGCCTCTCATTGTCCCCAGAGCCCCGCTGCACAAAGGACTCTCAGTTGTGCCCCAAAGTCTGTTCTCTGCCCTGATTCAATCAGGAGCCTGAGCTGTCTCTGGCGTCTCCTGGCAAGTAAGGGCTTTGTTTCTCTCCTGCTCTCAGCAGTGCCTGTCCTGCCTGATGTGTCTCAGGTTACGCGCTTTTCCTGTGTCCCCGCGGAAGCTGTGTCTGTCTAATAATAGACGGCATTCTTAACAAGGACTTCCTGATGGTCATTATGAACTGTCTCACACTGGTTTGGAGCTATTATTCCCTCTTGCGTCTCTTGTTTTCAGCACACTGAATGCCACTCTGTAGGCTGTACCGGCAAATGTGTGCTTTGTGTGTATAATGTATGATGTATGACGGAGGTGCCTGCTTTGCATATATTTTATAACACATGTTATATACTAGAATATCTATCTAAGGAAGGCATCCTGCTTTAAATCATAGCAAGTGGCTGCTGAGGTTCGTGTGCTGTCTTGTAGAGGAGTGTGTGAACAGTGGGTGTGGCATGGTTCATCTGTTCCATCCCACTCTCTAGGTCTCATTAATTCATGAAACCTGGGGCTGAGTCATCTCAAATATTTTCCCACAGCTCCTCCACCATGTGCCCAGGTGACTACCTGTAAATGAGCTCCACTGTCTGAGATCCATCCTGGGTACCTGTGTTAGTGGTCGGAGGCTTCCCATCGTGGGTACCTGTGTTAGTGGTCGGAGGCTTTCTGCTAAAAGTGCTTAGGTCCAGAGGGGTTGATGTAGGAGGGTCTTCTTTCTATGTGTTACTTTCATTGGTCAAATAAAGAAACTGCCTTGGCCTTTTGATAGGACAGCAGCTTAGATAGGTGGAGTAGACCTAACAGAATGCTGGGAGAAAGAAAGCAGAGTCAGGCAGACGCCATGATTCTCCAGCCCAAGACGGATGTAGGTTAGAATCCTGCCAGTAAGCCACAGTCTCATGGTGCTACACAAATTATTAGAAATGGGTTGAATCAAAATGTGTTAAGCAATAAAAGGCTAAAACTAATGGGCCAGGCAGTGTTTAAATGAATACAGATTTCTGTGTAATTATTTCGGGTAAAGCTAGATGGGCACCAGGAAGCAGCCCGCTGCTCCTTCTACTACAAGGGGTTCTGGATTTCAAATTTTGGAACATTTGCACACACATGAAGAGCTGTATCAAAGGTGGACGGCGAGTCCCGACCCAAACTCATTTTCTGTTTCCCGAGCACCTTCCCATACAAGCTGGAGGTCATCTTGTACAGGATTTTTAACTTGCTTGTGTTTGGTGACATGAGGTAAATGCCAAACCTCCTACCTGAACTGGTGTGTTGGCACTCAAAAGGTTTTGGATTTTGAAGCATTTGGAGTTAACATTCACAAAATAGAGGTGTTCAGCATGTACTATCACTACTAATGGCAATAATAATTTTTAATTAGACAAGATTTTATTTAAAATTTTTCATACAATATATTTTATCATAGTCTTTCTCCTCCCTATCTCCCCCTGCCAGCTTCTCCCTACTTCCCTACCCTTCGAACTTTGTTTTTTCTCTCAAATAAAATAAAAGAAAAAAATACAACAAAACAAAAGTCTCACAAAAAAAACCCTCACAACCAACCAAACAACAACAAAATGTGGAATCTGTTTTATGTTGATCAGTTTGTCCTGGGCACAGGGCCTGCCCCAGAGTGTGACTGATATACTCCCTGAAACGCCATTGGAGGGAACAGACTTCCCCTTTCCTATCAGGTGCCAAAACATGGAACTCTTCCAGAATGTTCAAGCCCTCCTTGCACAGGGGCCATGCTAATCCTCTCTGTAGTGGTCCAGTTTAGTACACACGCTGCCAAAACAAGCATGGCAATAATGATTTGAATATACAGCTGAGGCTTCAATTATCAAATTCTTAGACCTATGAAGGTCTAACACATCTTCTTTCTGGCTGTTGAGATAACTGAGGTTTAGTATGTCTAAGTTTCTTTCATAAACAAGCATCTCACTACGTGGCATCTAGAAAACCAGTTATGTTAGAATTCCTCACATTCTCCATCCAAGACCAATACCCATGGGAGCCCTTGGGTGGACATGTAGGACTAGAATTGTATGGTTCAGTGTTGGGTGTGAGAGCCACTCCTCAAATGGCTACTAAGCACCTAAAATATGGCCCATGTGAGTTCAGAGATCTTGAATATGTTCAAGATACACCAAACTTTACATAAATGTAAAACACTTCATTCACAATTTTATACCAGTTTCATGCTGAAATTATATTTTGGATACGACAAGTTGTTTGGAAACTACATGGGTATGGTCTGAGAGTAAGACACAGATGGTGCTGCGTGTGAGAGCGGGGTGTGAAGGGTCAAAATAGTTGTTCATCTGGAAAGAACACTTCTACCCTTTGTCCCTGCATTAGTCGCATCTCTGACTGTGACCAAATTCCTAACAAGAAGTGACTTAATGGAGAAGAGCATGTTTGGGTCTATAGACTGAAGAAGTCTGATCTGTCATAATGGGGAGATGCGGTGGGTAGCTCAGGGATGGCAGGAGTATATGGTGACTGCTTACCCACATAGCAGCACAGCAAACAGGGATGGTTGGGACAGAAAACAGGGCCAAGCCACGAACCACAAGGTCCCCAAGGATCCTCTTCCTCCCGCTGGGCCTCCTCTCTCGAAGGTTCTGCAAGGCTTCTACAAAGTTCCCAAGCAGTGCCCCTAGCTATTCAGATGCACGAGTCCGCAGAGTATTTTATACGGGAATCATAACAGCTGCATAAAGTAAGGGTGATTCTGGACAAGAGTGACAATGATTTTCTTTCTTTTTTTTTAAAAAAAATATTTATTTATTTATTTATTTATTTATTTATTATGAGTACAATATTCTGTCTGTGTGTATGCCTGCAGGCCAGAAGAGGGCACCAGACCTCATTACAGATGGTTGTGAGCCACCATGTGGTTGCTGGGAATTGAACTCAGGACCTTTGGAAGAGCAGGCAATGCTCTTAACCACTGAGCCTTCTCTCCAGCCCGACAATGATTTTCTGAGAGCTGTGCTGGGACAGGTTGGGGAGACACCCAGGGAGGTGGCCTGGTTAAGGTTGTTTGGGCTTCAGACTTGGTCTTAACACTGTGGGCCCTTAAATCTTGACCCTTGGGAAGTGGTGTCTGCCGGCTTCACCCTCGGTCCCAGGCCTGCTGAGAAGGACTGTGAAATCCTTCTGGAATGTAGGTTATTTTGTTCATGAGAAAGCCTTTGGGCTCAAGTACTAACTCCATTTTGTAGATAGGAGCAATCAAGGATTCAACCCAAATTCACATGGTAAGTAAGCTCACACACGTGGCCTTACATGATCCAAAGCCTACAATTTGCTTAAAACCATTTGAATTTTTTTTCTAAACATTAAAACAATTTCTGAGGCAGATGGATGAATCTGGCCAGACACAACTTGGACACTTACTGGCTTTTTTTTTTTTTTTTTTTTTGACTTGAAGCCAAATACTTGATTTTGCTACAGCTCAAGTTTCATAGTTTTAATTTGGGAGAGGGCAACAATAAGACATATATAAATTTATTATAAAGAATAACACAAGAACTTCATTAAAATGCTCAGCAATGTACTTGGAATATGGCAGAGACAGCAAATACTAAAAATGTATGCTCATTTGTGTGCGTGCGTGTGTGTGTGTGTGTGTGTGTGTGTGTGTATCTGGGTCCAACACAGGAAAAGAAGAGTAAGGCATCATTCATTAGAGAAAATGTTCCCAGATGCCTCAGGCATAGGCTGATCTGGAGGCAGGACAGGAACAGGGAAAGCGCATACGAATGAATGACACACACGTGGTCATGGGAACAGGAAGTTTCTAACATTGAGGGAGACTGGGAGGTCGGGGGTGATGACCTGGGAGAGAGGTCAGCAGAGACCAGCCTGAGTCCTCGCTGCCGCGATAGCACCCACGAGCTGCGCTTCAGCCTGCAGCTCTCAGGACGCCTGAGCTGGCTTCAGGGCCGCAGCTCTAGGAGGAGGAGCCAGTGGCAAACAGAGGGAAGGGACATGGTCATCCCGGAGCTGGCAGGTGAGCACCCAAGATTGTAGTTGGGAGTGTGAACCGGGCCACATTTGGTCCTATCTAGACACAGGACCCTCCTAACTTCAGAGAGCACTGCCGATGGAGTGGCAAGTGCAAGCCTCTAAAGCCAGGGACTGGCGATGACGTAGGCTCTATCTCAGAATCTACTTTCTGGAGCCCAAACTTTGGCACACAGCTTGCTGTGCCTCCTTCTGCGAAGAGGGCTTTCCCACACCCTACCTCTGTCCATCCTGTTTCTATCTTCCCAGGAAGATCCTCGGCGGTGCTGAAACTCATTGCAGCTTGACTTCTGAGTGGCTCTTCTGGGTTCAGGGGGTACGGAGCTGGAGGGCGAGTGATTGGCTGCTCCAGCCTGCCTGGCCAAGGGCCCCAGGCAACTCTGAGCTGAGAGGGAGTGGGGTGACTCTTGAGGGGCACACCATTTCAGGAAGAAATGACTGTAAGTCCATCATGAGGGGTCTCTGGTGTGGGCTTTCTGGGTCCATTAGTGACTGTGGCTGTGGTATGATGCTGACAATCCCCCCTCAGGAGGGAATTATGGGACTTTATTACCAGCAGGGGCAGTGCACTTAGGTCATTTCTCAGGTGAAGGGACCGGTTCTCTTCTTCCCAAGATGATCTAGTTCAGGGTTACAGAAGTAGCGGTTACATTCAACTTTTGTCACCTCAGAAGTTAGAACAACATTTGGTATTTCTGCATTCACTGAGTTACGAACTAACTGGCACCAATTTCCCCAGCTTCCAGACCTTATTTTCGGTCGTTTCTCTATTGCTTTAATAACAATAAAGAAAGAGAATACTTGTAAGGTCTCTCCTGTACTATGTACTGTCTTCCCAGCAATTTCTTTTTCTTCTTCTTTTTTTTAAAGATTTATTTATTTATTATGTATACAGTATTGTCAGTATTCTGTCTGCATGTCGGCCTGCAGGCCAGAAGAGGGTGCCAGATCTCCTTATGGATGGTTGTGAGCCACCATGTGGTTGCTGGGAACTGAACTCAGGACCTTTGGAAGAGCAGACAGTGCTCTTAACCACTGAACCCTTTCTCCAGCTCCAATTTCTTCTTTTTTAAAAGACGGGTCTTACCTAGACATTTGACAGATGATTTTCCAATAGTCTGGGCCCCTCCTCCTATCTCCTTCACAGCCTTGGCCCCTCCTCCTATGTCCATCACACCCTTGACCCCTCTCCTATCTCCCATCACTAGCTCCATCTACCACATAGGGTTTCCCCACCAGGACTGTCTCCTTCCATCAGCCTTGGTCCCTCTTGCCAACTGTCTCCTCTACACACTTTCCTTTCTCCTTTGCTGCTGGTGACCACATGGTACTTCAGGACATGTTCTTTGTACACTGCTCCTTGAATACCTGGCCCTATGTGAAGCGTAGGTGGAGATGTTTGCTCCCTGCTGGCGCCACCACCAAGTTCCTCAGAACACCGCCTCAAAAGGAAGGAAAGGCCTAGGAACCTCAGCACGATGGGAAGATGTGGGAAGAAGAAATGCTAGCATCACACTGTGAACAAGGCTTATGCAGTTGGTGCCAACTTTTTGCTCAAATTACGCAGCCACCTGTGCTTCTGTGCACTCCTACTGAACACATTCCTCGGGACTGAATCAGGAAGCTCTCACTTGCTCCCTTCTTCACAAACACGTCACCTCTGCCACCTACGTTCCTTTTCATCTCGCAACCCGCATACATTGGCAATGTTTTCAGTTGTGCCTTCCTAACCATTCTCTTGGGAGCCAGTCCCCTAGTCTGTGTCCAGGGGCAGACCAAGGTGCTTATTGGGGAGGGAAATTATTCCACTAAGTCAAATGCGTTCTAACAGAATGAGTTAGGAAGTTTGCTTCTACTCTGTGATCTACTCACAGGCACCCTATTCTTTTCTTCAAATTATGTCCCATGAGGTCCTGAGTAACAGCAGAGCTTCTTCATCAGAGGGCATCACTGACTCTCTCTTCATGCTGCCAAGAATGGCCATTCAGGGGAAGCAGGCGTGTCTATTTTCTGAAGCTTTGGACTGTTCCTGTGCCAAGATCTGCAGAACTTCACACTGGGTCACTGATTTTAAAGTCTTCTGGCTCCGCCTTTTTACATGCGGCAGCTGTGAGTGTTGCAATCATGGTGACATGCCCTGATAATGTCCAAATCTCCTCTTTAAAATAGTGTTCTTCAGTTATAATGTGAGTTTGTCATTTCATCATCTAATCACTGAGTAGAGATTGCTACATGTGGGTCCCATCATGGGTAATCACCCCCCAAAATGGTTTCTATTCCAGTAAATACTGAGTTCAAGAAAGTTGGTGAACTTGAAGTTCTTGAAGCCCAACTTCCTGGCAGACTGTGCGGGGGTACAGGACACAGTGGGAGCACCAGGCACAAGCTTCCCGCCACCCCTCCCCAGTGTTTGTGGCAAGAAATGCTTTTGTTTTAACACATGCTTTGTTGACATGCTGCACCCAGTGCCAGGTTAAATGGACCACAGACCTTCTTGGCTGTAGTGATGAAGGTCACCTTCATGCCCTCACATCTTCCTCTCCTCCGACTAGTATCGATGGCCTTACTGCGCTCCCCTCATGCCCTAGGCATGCTTCTTACAAGATGCTGTGTTGTTATTCATGGACACAATGAGCCTGGGAATTTGCACCAAAATATGAAGTCAGGTACTTAAGGAACAGCCGCAGGTCATCTGGTCCAGGTAAGATGGCAAAACGGCCTCTGTATCCTCTGCCTGGAACATCTTCCGCACAACCATCGCTGTCTTCA